GATAGGTGTTCAAAACAAAGACGCACTGATCTTTCAAGGGTGCTGGGATAAAAACCTTTCCTCTGATTCTCGGGCGTTAGACGTCACCAAGTAGTGGCCAACTGCTAAAACCTTCGCACATAGAAAATTCCTCTACAAAAGAACAAGGGCATAGGGTAAAAGTAAACACCGTAAAACACCACTGGGTGCAACGATTCCATAGATCATGATTCAATTTGTTTTGTAACTTGGAACACTGAATACCAGCATGTTCAAGGGAGGGGGGGCGGGGGGGGGAGGGGGGGAGGGGAGGAGGGGAGGGGAATGATTGAAAAAAGTTCAAAAAACATTGAAAGAAAGAAAGGAAAAACAAAACACATCAAAGATGATTAATTTATTATAATTCATACATTTTCCCCTCTCTGGAAAAAAAACGAAAAAGAAAAAAAAAATAAAAAAAAAATAAAAAAAATTATAACCAATACCTTCATCAAGTCTTGGGCGCCCACGAAGGTCCATCAAGCGCGGAATTGACGGTCCATAGACATCTGCATCCAGCAATCCCACCCGTAGATTGCACTCGCTGGCCAAGGAGACGGCCAGATTCACTGCATCAGCATAGAGACAAGCAACTCATCAGGAATTACTGTAGATTATAACCAACCAGGAAAAAAAGAAATAAAAAAAATCATGGATCTCATTTGCCTTCTACTCGGTATCCCGATCCCACTTGCCTTACTATGGTCCAGATCACATTCGCCTACTGTTGGCTTTTCCAACCAACCAACAGCAAAGAATGCCGAACAGTGACTGGTCAAATAGTAAATCATGTAAACGTTAGATTGCAAATAGTCAATACTAAATGTCAAAATAGTAAATGCTAGATGTCGAATAGTACATGCTAGATGTCACATAGTAAATTTTAGATTGCAAATAGTCAATGCTAAATGTCAGATAGTCAATTTCAAATAGTCAATGCTAAATGTCAAATAGTAAATGTCAAATAGTAAATGCCAAATAGTAAATGTCAATAGTAATGTCAATGCTAAATGTCAGATAGTAAATGTCAAATAGTAAATGTCAACAGTAAATGTCAAATAGAGTAAATGTCAATAGTAAATGTCAAATATAGTGAATGCCAAATAGGATCTGGATCTTGGCTGGTATGGGGAATGAGGGCCTCGTGGCACTAGTCGCCATCCGCCAACATTTTGATTGCATGTGGACATCCATTCTGTCCAGATGCGTTCGAAATCTTGGCGGATGGCGAGTAGTGTAACCAGGGCCTGATAGTGCTTGGGCGATATTTGGCGACCTCATTGACGCTGACGAGGCAGCCTTCATACCCCATCTTAAACCCCTTTAAGGAACCCAATCGCTGCGGTGTGATCAGACGGTTCTGGAAGTCTTGTTTTCTTTTTTTCTTTAAAAAAAAAAGAAAAGAAAAAAAAAAGGCTAACGGTTCTGGAAGTCTTTCTTTTCTTCAGCCGAAGCCGGGTAATGGCCCCGGTGAAGGAAAAAAAAAAGGAAAAAAAACTGAAAAAAGGCAAGTAGGATCTGGGTCGTAGTAAGGCAAATGCGATCGGCATTCAGAGGAAAAGGCAAACCGGA